TGCAGCAGAGGGCCACGAAGATGATCAGAGGGCTGGACCACCTCTCCTATGAAGACAGGCTGAGGGAGCTGGGATTGTTCAGCCTGGAGAAGAGAAGGCTCCGGGGAGACCTTATAGCGGCCTTTCAATACCTGAAGGGTGCCTATAGAAGAGCTGGGGAGGGACTCTTTGCCAGGAAGGGTAATGATAGGACAAGGGGAAACGGTTTTAAACTGGAAGAAAAAAGATTCAGATTAGATCTCAGGAAGAAATTTTTTACTCTGAGGGTGGTGAGACACTGGAACAGGTTGCCCAGGGAAGTTGTGGCTGCCCCATCCCTGGAAGTGTTCAAGGCCAGGTTGGATGGGGCCTTGAGCAACCTGCTCTAGTGGGAGGTGTCCCTGCCCAGGGCAGGGGGGTTGGAACTCGATGGTCTTTGAGGTCCCTTCCCACCCAAACCATTCTATGATTCTATTCTATGATTCTATAAGCAGCGTGGAGTTTGCTTTCTGCACCCCACACTGCTTACGTTGGCCAACTTTAGGTGAAGAGGATCGATATTGCATAATGTATATATATAAATACAAAAGTGGGAATTTTAATGCTTTTGGAAATTCAAAGAAATATTGGGCAGCCTCGCAGGTACACGCTGCTTGGTGGGTGTTGGGGTGCTTTGTGTCCCCAGCCGTGCTGGGTTTGGGTGCGTGTCCCCTGCAGCTGGGGAGAAGCCCCCACACACACTTTGGGGTGGCCAGTGGCACCCCGGTGGGTGCTGTGGCTGTAGGGACAAGGACACTAACCCTAGTGCCACCCCAGCTCCCCTGAGGGCAGTCGGGGCTTTGGTCTCAGCTTGATTTTGGCACTCCTCACAGATTCCTCTGCTTTCTGACCTCCAAACTTTTGTTTTTTAAACTGAGTTCATTTTCCAGCTTACGTAGCTCTTTTTCCTCCCCATATTTATCTGCCCTTGCACGGAGTCGTGCGGAGCCAATACATCCCTCCTCTGCCTCTGGATGGCCAGGACCCCGAAACCCTGGCATCACCCACACCCCTCCTGGCCCTCGCACGGAGTCGTGCTGAGCCAATACATCCCTCCTCTGCCTCCGGATGGCCAGGACCCCAAAACCCTGGCATCACCCACACCCCTCCTGGCGAGTTTGGCTCCTTCCCCGGCGATGCCGAGGCCAAGGGGCAGCCGTGTCTCTGGTTTCTCACCTCCCGGCAGCATTTTCACTGCTTATTACCCTTTTTTTTTTAATTTCTCCCTAATCACTTCAGAGCCTTTGCTTATGCCAAATAGGGAACCAAGTGCCCCGAAGCTGCTATTTGGGAATTACGAGTAGACGTTATCTTCTGGCTTTCAATTCCCTCTACCAAAATACACGTGATGGATGACACGGGGCACAGGCAGAAGCCAGAGCTTGGCTGTGCCCAGTGCTCTCCGTTACTTTCAGTGGGAGAAGTTAAATAGGAAAATAAAGACCACTTCACGTGCAACAAGGATGGGAGGGCTTCATCCACCCTGCCTGGAAAACAAATCACATGAGGAGCGGTTGAAGGAGCTGGGACTGTTTAGTTTGAGGAAGAGGAGGCTGAGGGGAGACCTCATCACTCTCTACAGCTGCTTGAAAGGACACCGTAGAGAGGTTGGTGCTGGTCTCTTCTCACAGGTAATTAACAATAGAACAAGAGGGAACGGCTTCAAGCTCCAACAGGGTAGGTTTAGACTGAACATTAGGAAGGAATTTTTCACAGAGAGAGTGGCCAGACACTGGAATAGGCTGCCCAGGGAGGTGGTTGAGTCGCCATCCCTGGATGTGTCTAAGAGTCGTTGAGATGTGGTGTTGGGGGATATGGTGTAGGGGAGAACTTTGTAGAGTAGGGTAGATGGTTGGACTCGATGATCCCAAGGGTCTCTTCTCTATGATTCTATGATAATTTGGATGGTATCAAATAAAGGAGTTAGAAGACAGGGATTGTGCCCAAACCCAAACCCTGGGGGGAACTCATTTTATGTAGGGATATTCCGCTATGATCAAGTGGGGATGCTGTGAGTCTTCTTCCCCCTCTCCCTCCCTTTCTCTTCTTCCTCATCGGTTCCTACAAAGAAAACTTGGGTCAAAAATGACCTGCTACCTGCAGGCACGTCCCACGGCTTCGGGGCAGGGCAAGGGCTCGTGCAGAGCCTGGCTTTCAGCGGCGACCGGGTCGAACTCACAGGCAGACACTGCGGGCACAGGGGTAAGCAGGAGGAAAAGAAAATAATATTTATTTACATCTTTCGAGCAGTAATAACACAGCTGCAGCGATTCGCCGGGAAGAAACTCCAGGAGGAAAGACTCGGCGTGATGGGCAAGAGCTCATACAGAGCCTGGCTTTCAGCAGCAACTGGGTCGAACTCACAGACACTGCGGGCACAGGGGTAAGCAGGAGGAAAAAAAAATAATATTTATTTACATCTTTTGAGCAGTAATAACACAGCTGCAGCGATTCGCCGGGAAGAAACTCCAGGAGGAAAGACTCGGCGTGACACGGCAGCGGTGCCCCGCGGGCAGGGACACCCTCCTGCCACCACACACACAGTATTTTGGGTCGGTACAAAATTGCTGTCGCGTTTTAGAAAAAGGCGCGAGGTTCACAGTAAAGTACCAAAGGGGAGCGCGGCGGGGAGGAAAGGTGGGGGACACGGCTGGCTCCGGGACCTCATCCCTGCCAGTATTTGGTCTATGAAAATGCACCGTACGACAACTCTGGTAGAAAAAAATCTATCCCAAGGGCTCGATGCATGCAGAGTCACGGGATTTCTACATCTACCATAGGGCTCAAAGTCTTTAAAACAAGCGCTTGGGCGGCTCTCCTGGGGCAAAAATGTCTGTCCTGCTGCTGGGTGATGCACCAGGAGGCATTTTGCAGAGGGGAAGGATGAGACACAAGAGCTCGGCGAGGAAAAGCAGGGAGCAGCCCACCCTGCCCAGCACTCAGCCCTGGTAGAGCCACCCACCACGGCCGGGCTGCTTTTAAAGCCTAAAAAACTCCTCCCTCCCCTCCTCCATCATCTGCTCCCCTCCTGCCCAACACTGTTAGTAAGAAAAGAGCGCTCACATTTTGGCTGTTTCCAGATTTGTGTTCAAAAACGGCCCAGACCTCTGTCCGAGGGTCATGGGAAAATCCCAAACCTTTCTTAAACAGGATTTCATTGCAGGGTGGAAGATTTGCCTCCTCCCAGGCCAGGAGCTCCAAGAGGAGGGGGGGAGGGATGGAAAGGCCCCCGAGGACAGCAGTGAAACCCAAAGGTCCCTCTGCTCCCACCCTGGGAATGTCCCACCCAGGCGGGATGAGGAGCCCTCTCCTGCTGCCGCAAACACCCAGTGGCTCCTGGCTCCGTTATCAGGAGAGTACCAGGGAAAAACTGCCTCCAAGGGAGAGTGCAGACACCGGGGGCTCCTCTGATAATGCAAGGATGCGGGTGGCTCTGCAGGGATAAAAGATTCCCAGGGATGTGCTGAAGTTTCAGGCATGGAGCCCGTGCATCCCTGAAAACGTCAGCCGGCTCCCCCATCCCCTGCCACGGCGCCGCTCTCCGAGCAAAAATACAAACAGTGACATTTCAGCAGCAGAAGCTTGCCCAGGCTGCTCTAATTAATCAAACAGGGGTCGGGGAGTGACAGCTTCTCTGCCCTCCTGCTGAGCCACCCATGGCAGCCCGCAGCACCCTCCGCGAACGCCGGCAGCCTCCTGCACAGCTCCCAAAAGTCAATGCTAAACTTCAGCGCTTTTTTCTTTTTCCAAACTTTTAAAAATACACATCTTGCTTTTTTTTTTTTTTTTTTTCCCCTTAAATATATATTCTATAAAATAAGGCAACTCGTGGAGACATAAAGAACGTCCCCATTGCTTAGGTACTGCATCCTACCACCAAAGAGGGGTTACAGTACTTCCAGTTGAGAAAAGCCACCCCACCCAGACACAAAGCTCCTGCGCAAGAAAAGAGGAGCGAGATGTGCAGAGGAAGCTGTAAATCTTGGGGAAATGCCTGAGGATGGCCCTCGGCAGCTCCTGCACGTGTCCCAGGGAAGGGAAGGCTCTGGTCCCTCCGGGGGTTCGTGGGGAGGGAGTCACTTCTGCTGGGGATGCTGGAGCCGCTTAGGGAACACCCCATCGCTGGGAGACCTCAGGGACAAAGGCAGCACAGAAGATGGAACGATTCGATTTCTCCCCAAAACCGAAGCAGACACTAAAAATACATCTTTGGGAGAAACTCTCATAAACAGGAGTGTATCTCGTAGTGTGAAAAGCGATAAACAAGGTAAGCACAAAGGAGCGTGGCTCATCCCTGGCACGGGTCCTGCTCGGTGTCACAGCAGCTCGTGAAAACGGCAGCGCTCTGTAACAGGGGTTTCATCTCTCTCTACGGAACAAGCACAAGAGCGTGTTTTACCTCCCAATATTTTCCCTCTTTCGTGTGTATTAATATCAGAAATGTGATCTTCCATGTTTCTGAGCTTTGGAGTGTAAATATTTTCCACGTTGCTCACCAATTCCCACTGGGCTAAGTCTCGCTTTTTAGAGCCTTATTTCTCTGATAAACAAATTTTATAGAAAATAATTTTTGTATTTCTTTTTTAAAAAAGAAACGACCTAGAGAGTAATCTGCAGTAAATGGTACTGTGGAGGAAAAGGATGGCACGTTGAAGGCTCAGAGACTGGGGTTTGTATGGGGGTAGCAGGGACACCATGGCAAGATGTGTAACCCTGGTATGATCATTACCCAGCTCTGTGTGTGTACTGGACCATAGGCAGGAATATTGTATAGCCTCAAGAGAGAAAAAAACCCCATCTTATTCTAGCAGATTTGACCTTACAAGCCAAGATCTTTTCACCCTGAAACTGGCTATAATGGTGTACCCATGGAGGTCACCCAGCACACCCAGGGAAGGGACTTGAGATACCGCACGATCACCTAATCTGAGCACAGCCCCAGAGAAACCAAATCCGTGACGGCGTTAACTCTTGGTCCTTGGCACAAGCTGTTTAGTTCTCCTCGTCCGAAAGAACGGGTGGGATCTTGCTGGAGAGCAGGGTGTACACGTACGGCCAGATCTTGTTGGTCTCCGTCCCCGAGAAGGAATGAAGGATGCCCCTGCTCCTGGAAGAGAGATGGGAGGAGAAGTCAGTACCGGGGGTATCTTCAGTCCCTCAGGATGGGGATATTTGCTGTGAGGTTGGCCATCGGAAGGACACAGCCTGGCCCATCCACAGCTGCACTCGCATGTGGATGAGCCAAACCCAGATAACCACGAATAATCACATTACTCAGGACAACAAGCTCACCCATGTCCCCCTGAAGGCCACTCACTCTCTAAAGCACTTTACAGAATCACAGAATAGTGAGGGTTGGAAGGGACCTGTGGAGATCATCTACTCCAACCCTCTGCCAAAGCAGGTCCACCCAGAGCAGGTTGGACAGGAACATGTCCAGGTGGGGTTTGAATGTCCCCAGAGAAGGAGACTCCACCATCTTCTTGGGCAGCCTCTTCCAGGGCTCTGCCACCCTCACAGGAAAGTTTTTCCTCATGTTGAGATGGAATTTCCCATGTTCCAGTTTGTGGCCGGTGCCCCTTGTCCTGTCCCGAGGCACCACTGAGAAGAGTCTGAGAAGACTCTTAACTGGTTGGGTTTCCTAGCGTTGATGGGCAGCACCTCTGGAAAGCAAAGAGGTTTCCCACCCTGCACAGCGGAGCTAGGGAGGAGAAAGGGTTTGCAAACACCTTCTGCCACAGCAAAAAAATCCCTCCCATTGACAGCACTAGCAAAGCCCTGTGTGGAGCCCAGCAAGACAAACAGGAGCTGTGAATTTCTTTCCATCAGCCTCCTCCCTCCAAACAGGGCCAGGGCCCAGCTGCAATGAAAGGCTTTGTGCTGCCGACCTCAGTGATCTGCCCCCAAAAAAACCTGTTGGGGGCCATGCTGGGGTTCCTTGGGCTGTTGGGATGGAGCCATGGGACTGGCTGGTGCAGCTGCAATGAAAGGCTTTGTGCTGCCGACCTCAGTGATCTGCCCCCAAAAAAACCTGTTGGGGGCCATGCTGGGGTTCCTTGGGCTGTTGGGATGGAGCCATGGGACTGGCTGGTGGAAAGTGCCCTCGTGGCTGTTTTTACAGACACTCTGTGATTTATTCACGTGGTCCCGACTCACTTGTACAGCTCTATTACTGGCTTTGCAGCATCTTTGTATTTTCTGAGCCTGGCGGCAACGGCCTCGGGTTTGTCGTCCTCGCGCTGGACCAGGGGCTCGCCCGTCAGGTCATCGACGCCCTGCAGGGAGGCAAACACCTTCAGGGGGGATGTAGCCCACCCTGCAGCTCCCTGCCAGGTCCCTCATCCCACTCCCCATCCATCGAGCATCCTCGGACGGCATTTAACACAAATCCCATTTTCCTAATTAACATTTAGCACAACTCCTTCAGGCTGGCTCCCGAGGGCAAAGCCCTCCGGCGCTCAGCGCTTACCACCTGGGATTTCCTCCCCAGAGCTTTTTTTTTAGCCATCTCAGCTCACGCAGAGGAAGGCTTCTCTGATCTTTTCCTTCTGTGGGTTGCTCCCCGGTGCTCTTAGAATCATAGAATCATAGAATCATTGAGGTTGGAAGAGACCCTTGGGATCATCGAGTCCAACCATCTACCCTACTCTACAAAGTCCTCCCCTACACCATATCCCTCAGCACTGCATCTAAACATCCCTTAAACACATCCAGGGATGGTGACTCAACCACCTCCCTGGGCAGCCTGTTCCAATGCCCGACCACTCTTTCAGTGAAAAATTCCTTCCTAATGTTCAATCTAAACCTCCCCTGTTGGAGCTTGAAGCCGTTCCCTCTCGTTCTATTGTTAATTACCTGTGAGAAGAGACCAGCTCCAACCTCTCTACAGTGTCCTTTCAAGTAGTTGTAGAGAGTGATGAGGTCTCCCCTCAGCCTCCTCTTCCTCATACTAAACAGCCCCAGCTCCTTCAGCCGCTCTGCATATGATTTGTCTTCTAGGCCCTTCACTAGTTTCGTTGCCCTCCTCTGCACTCACTCCAGCACCTCGATATCTCTCTTGTATTGAGGTGCCCAGAACTGGACACAATACTCGAGGTGTGGCCTCACCAGTGCCGAGTACAGGGGCATAATCACCTCCCTCTTGGCTCTTACCTGGACGTTGGGGGGGTTGAAGTCCATGTTGTACACCCTCCCGCTGGCCGGGTGGACCCAGCGGGCGCTCAGGCGATCCTTCAGCGTCTCGAAGGGTATGTTCAAGCTGATCACCAGGTCCAGCTCACATATCCTGTCCAGCGCCTCGGCTTGGCCCAGCGTCCGGGGGAAACCTGTGCAGGCACCACAACGGAAAGGGGCTGTCAGGAGAGGCAGGAAAGCAGCAGGGATGGAGGCAAAAACCACCTACCCCGCAGCCCCGGAGCTGCAAAACCACCGCGGCTCCTCGCTCTAGCACAAGCGGTGTGAAAGACAGGCATCCACCATATGGCTACAATAAAAAATAGCTCCTACAGCACCGACTCCTGAAATATAACACACAGACTCTTGTTTTCCTGCAAAGTCGTGTCTGCACAGGGGCTGGAGGCAAGTAAGAGGGCACAGGCAGATAAAAACAGGGATAAATGCTGGAATTATGTAGCAAAACCCGAAGGAAATTAAAAACTGCGCCCAGACGAGTAACACGCTGTGGGTTTACATGGAGGACATCAAGGATACTGTGATAAAATGGTTTGCACAGCCATGGCCCAGCTCTCTGAAATCCCTGTCCTCTGAAACCCCCATCCTCTGAAGGTATCAAGTGGGACCCCTTGTTCAGAAAAGGCAGTGAGTGGGTGGGAGCATCCACTCTTGCTGCCAGACCGCAACCAGGGGTGACTCTGAGCTGGTCCCCTCCCCAGTTCTCTCTGCTGATAATATCCTTTTTTTCACTTTTTCAACCTTTTTTTTTTTTTTTAACATCCATAAAAACCTCGGAGACTTCCCAGGCTTTTTGCAGAGTATTATTAGCCAAGAGCTTGCCAGGACATCAGCTCCCGAAATCCTCGTTACCAGCCCACGGATGGAATTGCTTCACCTTCACATCACCCTCAACATAAAGCCCTGATGGAATGGGAGCTGGTCCCCGGGCCAGGCTGCTGGGGGTTGTCGTACCACCATAAATCAACATCCCCAGCTGCAAGAACCCAGCTCAGAGCTTGTCGATGCAAACCCCCATCATGTGTTGAAATGCCAGGGTTTTAATACAATGAAATATGCACTTGGTTACGCAGCGCTGGTTGCTACAATATTGGTTAATCACTGTGCTTCCTGAAGAATTAAGTGGCATTATGGTAAGAATAATGGAATTTTAGTAGTGGGGATTCACAGGCATCTTCAAGGCAGCCTGAACCTAAAGGGCTTGAGGTCTCTGACATCCTCCCTGCAAGCCCAGTGAGCTACACTGCCAGATCCCCGGTGCCAATGCTGCCAGATCCCTGGTGCCCACTGGGGTGAGAAGAGGTTGGCCAGACTCTAAACCCCACCACAAACCACCCCTCCTCTGGGGCCACCCAGGCCCACATGGGGAAGAATCATAGAAGGGTTTAGGTTGGAAGGGATCCTTTAAAGGCCATCTAGTTCAACCCCCTGCAAAGAGCAGGGACATCTTCAACTAGATCAGGTTGCTCAGAGCCCTGTCCAACCTGGCCTCATCATAAAAATCATAAAAAAGAAGCATGGCTCCCATGATACTAATCCATGGATTTATTTCAGTTGTAAACTATTTTGTATTTTCCCTATCAGGAGCCTGAGAGCCCTCCAAAAGCCCAGGTCTGTTATAAATCAACTGGCTCAGTCTTAGCTACGTATTCACTGACTCTTTCAAAGAGCTCCAGCAGATTGGCCGGGGAGGGTTTCTCCCACAGCCACAGCCACACGTCCCATGTGTCACACTTGCCTGTGTCCAACATCACAAGTGAGTGTGACCCACCAAGCCCTGCCCCATCCCCTAACCAAGCCCTAAAGTGATTTCTGGAGCTGCCATGGGCACTTACAGAATCATAGAACAGTTAGAGTTGGAAGGGACCTTAAAGATCACCTTGTTCCAACCCCCTGCCCTGGGCAGGGACACCTCCCACCATCCCAGGTTGCCCCAAGCCCCCTCCAACCTGCCCTTGAACCCCTCCAGGGACGGGGCAGCCACAGCTTCTCGGGGCAACCTGGGCCAGGCTCTCACCCCCCTCACACCAAACAAGTTCTTCCTGAGTTGTCATCTACATCTCCCCTCTTTCAGTTTAAACCCTTCCCTCTCGTCTTGTCGCTCCCCTCCCTGATAAAGAGTCCCTCCTCACGTGGCAAGCCCACTTGCCAGCTCCCAGGCCACCAGCAGCAATGCACCAGGGCTGCTGACGTGCAGCTTCACCACCGAGGGCTGCAGGAGCTCCTGGCAAACCCTCTGTTGCTCCTCTCACCACTTGCCTTGCCAGTTTGCTCTCAGCGTCTTCTCTACCCGAACCTCAGGTGGCTTTCAGGCTTGGGATGAGTAGCTGCTCCACACGCATACGGAGGCGGAAAGAGGTTTTTCTTGGCTTGCCTCCAGCCCTGCTCTGCTCACTGTCTCTGCTTTATGAAACACCCATCTCCTTTCCCTTCCTTCCCTTTTTCCCGACATGTGCCAATGGCTCGGCTGGACACGCATGTGCCGCTGCTCCGGGCAGAGTGATGCAAAACCCACGGGCAGATGTCTTGTCCCACCACTCCTCCCACCACCAGCAAAGGCACCTTCTGCTTTTTCTCTCTCCTGGTGCTGCCAAACCATTAGCAGCAGAATAACGTTTTAAAGGGGGGCTGGAATTTTCCCATCCAGGGGGGACTCACCATCAAGCAGCCAGTGCTGCTCTCGCCGCTTCTCCAGCTCCGTCATCATCACGCGTGTGATGACGTGGTCCGGCACCAGAAGGCCTCGCTCAAGATACTGCTTTGCCAAGATGCCAACTTCTGTTCAAGAGAAAGGAGAAAAAAAAAAAAGGATGACATTTCCGCTTAAAAAAATATTGCTCCCCCTCAAATTCTGCCCATCCTCCCAAATTACTCATCCAGGAGCTTCTGAGCAGCATCCCTCTGCTCATAGCTGCTGCTCCTGGCAGCCGGGGACCACATGGTCCTTTTTGTGCTGTAGAAATGGAAATGCCTGAAATACTTGAGAGCAGGAAGACAGCGAGCACTGGCCAAGCCCTCACAGCCCCGTGAGCCAGCTGATGGCAGCAAGGGACACTGGCACTGTCTCTGCCACGCTGGACATGTGTACCACGTGCTACACCCAAAGCTCCACCAGTTATGAAGGTGGCACCACCTTTTTGTGCTGTAGAAATGGAAATGCCTGAAATACTTGAGAGCAGGAAGACAGCGAGCACTGGCCAAGCCCTCACAGCCCCGTGAGCCAGCTGATGGCAGCAAGGGACACTGGCACTGTCTCTGCCACGCTGGACATGTGTACCACGTGCTACACCCAAAGCTCCACCAGTTATGAAGGTGGCACCAGTGTGGTGCTACAAAGGGCTATGAAGATGAGGAGGGCACTAGAACATCTCTCTGATAAGGAAAGGCTGAGGGACTTGAGTCTTTTAGTCTGGAGAAGAGAAGGCTAAGGGGGGATCTGATCAACGCCTATAAATACTTAAAGGGTGGGTGTCACCACCTTTTTTCAGTGGTGCCCAGTGACAGGACGAGAGGTAATGGACACAAAGTTGAACATACAAAGTTCCATCTGAAGGAGGAACTTCTTTCCTGTGAGGGTGGCAGAGCCCTAGAAGAGGCTGCCCAGGGAGGTGGTGGAGTCTCCTTCTCTGGAGACATTCAAACCCCACCTGGACACGTTCCTGTGCAGGTCCTGGGTGGACCTGCTCTGGCAGGGGGCTGGAGGAGATGATCTCCAGAGGTCCTTTCCAACCCCACAGCATTCTGTGATTCTGTGGTTACAGATGATACTGCCATGGATATTAAACATCACAAAGACACTGGCCCAGCTGCGAGGGATGCAGCCAACCTCCGCGTCCCTCCAACGGCAGGACAGTCACCCCATCCTGGACCACAGACGTGGCCAACATCCCGCTGCCTGGCTCACTGCTTGATTTAAACCCACATTAGTACCAAATACAGGATGTTAATAATGCCTATTCCTATACGTGCTGAGCCACAGCTGCAAATTCTTGTGCCTTGGAGGAGGTTTCCAGCAAAGCCAGGAGGACAAATGATGCATTAGAGCAATGCCTGCAGATGCGGCAGCGTTTGGCCCATAGGTACAAAGTTTCCATCGTCGGGAAAAGCTGGCGTCATCATTTATAAACGATCTGAAGAAGTGGAAATTCACCGTTTTGCATGCGAGACGCGGCAGCAAACGGGCATCACCAGCGAGCTCCAGCGAAACCCAAACCTCAAAGTGTTTGTTAAATCGCTGCCGAAAGCAGGAGACGGCTTCCCCATCCAAAGGGCTTTAAGACTTCAGAGCCTCAACTTAAGATGCGCTCAGATAAGAAAATTATTTCCAAGATCAAACCCTTGAGAAGGTAATTGCAGTGTAACTGCAAGGTAAATACACCTCACCAGGCTCCTGCCTGGGTCTCCCCCGCATCACTCAGCTGGAGCCGACAGCGCTGGAGGAGAAGCCAGCGGAGGTTTCTGCACAGTTAATGGATCCACCATGTCTGGATCCACCAGCCTGGCATCACCCGGGCAGCCGCTGCCAGCAGCCAAGGTAATAAAGGTTATATTGTGCTTATATTTTCATTGCAGCTGGGGAAAACAGATGTTACTTCAAGGAGAGATGGAATAAATTCAGTTGCTCCCTACATTACAGTTTGCCTGTGATTTTCTTTTAGCCACTTGGAGACACAAAAAAGCTGTTTGGAAAATGCAAATATTCTTTGCCATTGCGTGTGACAAGTCCTGATCCTGCCACCCGGCCCTTTCCTCTTGGACCAGGGCCCGATTGACACCTCTTCTCTCTTCTGACAGCAGCTGAAATAGCACTTGTCACCAGAAATGAACAATTTTGCAATCAATTTTTGCAAGATTTTTGCTGAGGACAGCACAGTTTAGCCCTCCTAAAGTACGAGTCCCCTCTAAAAAAAGCCACAGGATCCTGCATTTGGAGGCAGGCTCCGGGTTTCCAGACTGCAGCAAGATGTCAGGCCAGGCAGGCACATGCATCTGGCCACGGGCTGAATTCCTGAGCTGCAGGAGGGATTTTTTTAATTTTTTTTTTGAGATATAGAGTTCCTGGAGAGGGTTCATCTGATCTAACGGGGCAGCCTGACACAGCCTGCACCGATTCCCTGGGGAGCACGGGGACGGGATGTGCACAGGGAACCTCACAGGCTCCCAAAATGGTCTGCGGACGATGCCTGGCAGGAAAGCAGGGCAGGTTTGGGGCTGCCAGCCCAGCCACGCTCCCCACTTGGAAACCTGCCTCCGAAATGGGACAGGCAGCGGGCACCGACTCATCAGCCTGCAGGGCTGAGTCACCACAGGGACAGGGGGACCATGGTGCCGTCCCCCTCCTGCCGCTCCATAAAGGCATTTCGGCTCACCCCGCTGAGCAGCTCTTTGCGTGGAGCCACGGTGCAGCGAGCAGAAAATACCTTTTCTTTGAATGACAAGTTTTTTTGTCGCTGCCCAGAGGTGGCCAGCACTGCTGGCAGCTCTCCTGCTTGGGGAAGCAAAGGACGTGGGGATGGAAATAATCCATGATGTCTTATGCAACCCGCACGGAGACCTGCTAGGGCATAAATATTATTGCATCCGCCTACATTTTTTAATATTTATTCACATGGTCCGTGCATCGCCTCAGGCTCGCAGGGAAGGCAGAGCTGCTCCCCGGGCAGAGCCTGGTGGCCGCAGAGGCTGGAGCTGCAGCAGAAGGTCCCACTGCCACCCCGAGGAGGGCTGGCCATCCCAGGGACCGGCTGCTGCTCGGCGGAGATGCTGGAGCCAGGCCTGGGGCTGCAAACCAAAAATACCCCCAGCTGCAATCGTGAAGTCTGGAAATAGGGGGAGGGCCCAGGGCTCTACATTGGGGAGGGTGCAGCTTTCCCACGCCCCCGGTCTGGCTGGATGGATCTCCTCTGCTCCGTGATGGATGACTCCTCTTGCCAGAGGTGCTGTTCCTCTGCGTGCGTCAGGGAGACACGGCAGCATGGGGGGCATGCAGCGGCACAGGGGGGCACCCACCAGCATGGGGATGCACAACACAGGCATGGGGTGCACGTCGCAACATGGGGTCAGGCACTGGTATGGGGGGGATTCACTATCTCAGGGGTCCACACACCAGTATGGGGTTGCTGACTGCTTCCACACAGCTACTGACCCTCCAGCATCTCCCTCCCTGCTCAGCCTCCTCCAAAGCACAGGTAGCACCACCACCCCTCCTCACACTGAGGAAGAACAGGCACGGTTCTTGCATGAAGGACCTACAGAGCTGCCTGGTCCCCTCACCCCTACAACACCAGGGATGCTCCAGAGCACAACATCCTCTGTCATTATAGCAGCCTTCCAGTGCCTAAAGGGGGCCTATAGGAGAGATAAGGAGGGACTCTTGATCAGGGAGTGGAGTCATAGGACAAGGGACAATGGTTTTAAACTGAAAGAGGGGAAATTAAGAGGAGATATTAGGAAGAACTTCTTTGCTGTGAAAGTGGTGAGAGCCTGGCCCAGGTTGCCCAGAGAAGCTGTGGCTGCCCCATCCCTGGAGGGGTTCAAGGGCAGGTTGGAGGGGACTTGGAGCAACCTGGTCTGGTGGTACATGTCCCTGTCCAGGGCAAGGGGACTGGGAACGAGGTGATCTTTAAAGTCCCTTCCAACCCAAACCATTCTATGACTCTATCCCTGCATCCCAGTCCTTCCCAAGCAGGGTGGAAGATGCCGGTCCCTGCCCAGCAGCTCCCTGCAGCTCCTGGTCCCCTCCACAGGAGGACTCGGGGCTCACCCCTACAGCGCTGCTCAGCACCTATGGAAGCACCAAAATCCCCATTGCTACAGCCAGAAGCAGAGAGGGGTTTTAAGCATCGCCCTGCAGTTCCTCCAGGTAGCAAGGGGCTCCTTAGCTGATACTCGTGCCGAGCTGGGCCGGCAGGGGCTCCCGGCAGCGCTGAGCTCCGTGCAAAACGGCCTCTTGACTCACACGCTTAATCCCATTAATCTAATGACCGTGGGTTTTAATCTGCCCTTTAACACACAGGACTCGAAGATCTCTGCGGCTTCCCCCACGCGACCCTGATCTGCAGCCGTCCTTCTTTATCAAAACACCACCGAGTTACAGTCCCGAGGGACGAGGCCATGAGCAACAAAACAGTCGCCCAGGACCAGGCAGGACGGGCTGGAGGAGAGGCTGTTCCCAAACACGGCCTCCAGACCCTGCTCGATAACCCTGGACCTTCTGCCCCACGGCGCAACCTTCTACAGGATTTTATTTAGGCTACAGCGAGGTGATCTGGAGTTAACGGAGAGGAGAACACCCCGGGTGGTTACCAGAGCACCGACCGCAGCTGACTGTACCAGGGCAGTTGGTTGTTGCACTGCAACAACCCCCGCCAGCCAGCACCAGACATCACCCCAGCTTTAGGACCTCTTTCCCAAAGAGAAAAGTGGGAAGAAGGACCACGAGACTTGGCCATGCACAGCCCACAGCCCCCTTGGCTCTTCTTTTGTGCTGTGGTGGACGCTAACAAATGAAATTTGTCACAAGGAGGGGACAAGAGCCACTTTTGTCTCCAACGAAGCCCATTAAAGGGAGCGGTGGACCAGCCACCAGACCCACGTGTCTCTCAGGGGATGTAGAACCTCAGCCAAAGCCACTTGGAAAAGAAATTGAGTTGTACTGCACATGAACTGCCGAGTCCTGCTAAGACCCCGGGATGCTGCCAACACCACAGACAACCCCCTGTGTACCGGGGCAAGTACTGGCCAAGTACTCACCACCCTCCAGCACTCCTGACTAGCACCAAAACCACAGCTTCTAAGTCTTCCAAGATCTTCAAAAGGCCCTCTTCCTACAGCAGAGCAGCCGCTCACTAAGCGAGACGCTAATTAACAGACAAATGTGGGGTAGTGGATGTACTCATAGGGTCACTGTAGCAAAACTTCCAACAATTCAGTGGCAGCCGTGCGTTCAGCTGCTTTGTCCAGAGGCAAACACAAGTCCTGGCTCCCCAAGACCACCGACACCGGGCACCTCGTGCTTCCTCTGGTGGCTGGAGTCCTCCGAGCCGGAACCACGCAGCCAGGGCTACTGTACAGCTTGAAAAGGCAAGCAGGAAAACCCCCTGTGCGTTGATGCCTGCCACCCTGGGATGGAGAACACTCTACATAAACACGGGATTGAGGGGTCCCTGTTTGTATGGAAGGGCCCCACCTCCCCAGAAACACGAAGCCGATGGCGCAGATGAAAAACTCCAGCAGAGAGTTGAGTTCCACCTGGCTTGCCCCGGAGCTGGCACACCGCAGCGCCGTCGTGTAACAGCTTGTCCAAAGCAAACAGCAAAACAAGAACAGCAAATAGCTGCAGCTCACTGAGAGCTGTAACCAGAGGCTGACTCAAAGGTGGGACCTGAGCGTCACACCAGCTCTACCAAACCAAGGCTGATTTACTTCTGAGTAATTTTATCCACATTCCTCAGTCTCGTTTCCTTCAGGAAACTGAATTAAGCCGATGCGATTTGGGAAAGACCTTCAGCTAATTCCCTTCACTGCCCCTTCTTCCTTCTCCTGTGTCCCCAGAGCAGCTCTGCAGTAAGAGTGTGAACTGAAATACCAAATCCAGGAAGAGCCACGTATTTAGACCGTGCAGGTTCCTGGGAGGACACGCAGCCCCACCCCACTGCCCCGATCCTGCACGCTGCACCTCTGCTGGCTTCACACCCAGGTGTTTTGTCCTTCTGCCAAAGCACTCAGTGGGATTTTCCTAATTTTGAGCCTCCCTCCAAAGGAAATATTATTGTCCTTTTTATTTATAAAAGGAAACCTGGATATTTTTAAAGGAGTGACCAGCCCAGGGCTGTGTGCAATGTCCCTGCCGGAGTGCGCAGCTCTCTAAAACTTTACCCTCCCTCCATTTTTTTTTTTGTTGCCCTTTCTAAAAAAGGGAAATCACTTCTGGGTTCTCTGGGCTTGTTTTGTATCGATGCCGTTTTACTGTTGCTCTGCCCGGTGAGTCAGCTTCCCCTCTGGGTCGCTTTTTCACACATTACCAGAGAGGAGAAGGAGTTACTGGAAAAAAAAATAAATATGCTGGGATTGCCTAAGGGCAGCGAGCTGGGGTGCAGCACGTCCGCTCTGGAGGGGGAGCATCTCACAGCAAAGACTGAAACCACAGCAAAGACTGAAGTTGTCTCAATGGCTCTGGACCTGGAGATGCCAAACACAGGATCGGAGGGGGAGCACCTCACAGCGCTGCCCGGGGTGCAAACACAGCAAAGACTGAAGTTGTCCCAATGGCTCTGGACCTGGAGATGCCAAACACAGGATGGGCTGGAGCAGAGAGCCCCCCCCCCCCGGCGAGCCTCCACCCCCCCACTGTCTGCAAGGGACACACACCAGCGCCCGGTGACACCCCGCTGTCCCTGCCGTGGGGGCTGGCACGGCACCTGGATGCAGCACCCCGACACCCACAGCAATTTTCCTGGCGGGGTTTCCCCCGTGGATGAAGGCACGTTCCCCGTCCGTCCGTCCCTCCCACCGTGGGTGTCGCACAGGCACAGCGTGCGCCACCGCCTCGGCCATCTGCCGTCCACCGCTTGGCAGTTTTTCCCCCGTTCCTGTACAGCCACCTGAGGCAGGGTGAAGTTATTAATAATAACACACGACCTGTGTCCCCAGATGCCGCCGTTAACCGCTGCTGCCTGAGCCGGAGGGTTATTTGGACCGGTTTCTCCGGGGCAGGGATGATACTATCACACACGCACGGCTCCCCAGGGGATCGGACCCCGCTTTTATGGGGCAGCTCGGTGAGCTCAGGCTGGGGGGAGAGGGCGATGAACGAGCGGTGCCGACCCCACAGAAAGAAAAAGACCTACAGCATAACCAGGGGTGGGTTTCCCCATCCTCATCCTCATCCTCATCCTCACCCCTTTCCCATCCTCACCACTATCCCCATCCCGATTCCCTTCCCTATCTCAACTCCCTATCCTCATCTTCTCCCCATCCTCATCCCCATCCCCTCCTCATCCCCATCTCCCCCTCACCCCTATCCTCATCCCATCCCCTCACCATCCTCATCTCCATCTCCCCCCCATCTCATCCCCTCTCCATCCTCATCCCCATCTCCCCCCTCACCCCTATCCTCATCCCAT